AGGGGGGAAAGGAGGGAGGAAGAACTTTAGACTTATTTATTTGAATAAGAAAAAAAAAAAAAAGTTTTTTTGCAGCGAAATCACGCGCGTGCCATAGATTAGCTGTGGGCAGGGATAGGCTGCCCGGCCCCCGGCCCCCGTGGACCCTTTGGCCCCATTGGCTCCGGGGCCGGGGTATTGTTGCAGTGGGGCAGCTGCTGGGAGAGAATAGACAATAGAGCAGCTGTCTTGCACTGGCACCCTGCACACCAGCTGTCCACTCTTATCTGCACACACACTTTTGGGGGATATTAAGAGGTGGAGCTGTGTGCATAGAATTGGAAAAAAGGACTTCTGACCCTCACTGGGAAGGGAAGGGGGGTGAGGGGCTGTGGGGAAGGGAGCAATTGTGAGCCCTCTTTTGTCTGTGTGCAACTGTATTAAGAAGAATGCTCATCCCCGGCGATAAGTAAAGTGCCCAGTTACGGGGCGAGATCAATACTCCTGCAGACTCCAGAGATTAACTCAGCTGCACTTAACTGCCCCGACCTAGTAAAAGGGGCTCGCTCCCCAGCCGCAAGGTGCTCTCGGGATCGGACTTGTAAAAGGGAGACGTTTGGCCCCGGTGCTGATGTCTCTCCCTGCTTGGTTTGTTTACAGCGATTTGTTTGCCTGGATGTGATGAGCAACACGGCTTTTGCGACAAACCTGGGGAATGCAAGTAAGTTTTCCACTCCCCTCCTGCTCCCTTCTTTGTCTTTAACATTGATGCTCTGGTGTGAAGTAAGCCATTGGTCATTTGAAGGGCCGGTTTAAATGCCTTTCTTCATATTAGATGGTAATTTGAGAAATCCAGGTGATGCCAGATCAAAGTATTAATCTACAAGTCAAACATCAGTGCCATTAATATTAACCTAATGAGTTTACAGTGCTGTGTGTAAGGTTTAGCTGTTTGTTATTAGAGTAAACAAATTAACTACCTGGAGCCATGGCTCTATCTAAGGAAGTGGAAGAAATAGCTGGGACTGATGAAAGCTGATGCTACGGTTGGACTCGGTGACTTTCTCACATGAAGGATCACCGAGGGCTTTTAGGAAACTTGATCCCTGGCATCAGTGTGTTTGCAGAGTTTGCGATAGGGTTTCCAACTGTGAGAAGTCTAAATCTGACGAGACTTTGTTGTTGGTTTTTTTTTCAGATGCAGAGTGGGTTGGCAGGGGCGATATTGTGATGAGTGCATCCGATACCCAGGCTGCCTTCATGGTACCTGTCAGCAGCCGTGGCAGTGCAACTGCCAGGAAGGCTGGGGTGGCCTTTTTTGCAACCAGGGTAAGTTCTCAGTCCTTGCCTGAGCGTCTGTTTTAAAACGCAGAAAGCAAGTGGCTATTTCCAGCTCACCCACCTTGTGCTAGCCTTGCAAAGTAGCAAGTATCTTGACTGCCCTCTTTTTAAAAAAAATCTTTTACAGACCTGAACTACTGCACCCACCACAAGCCCTGCAAGAACGGTGCCACATGCACCAACACTGGTCAGGGGAGCTACACTTGTTCTTGCCGACCCGGGTACACAGGCTCCAACTGTGAGATTGAAATCAATGAATGTGACGCCAACCCTTGCAAGAATGGTGGAAGCTGCACTGTAAGTTTGAGTTGCTTGTGCCATCTGAAACCCCAAGGGAGGAGTTAATGTCAGTTTTACTGATTTTCAAAATCCCTTTTTGGATTTCAAAGCAACTTCAGATAAATATTTTGACCATTTCTCACTTCTTCCCCCCAGGATCTCGAGAACAGCTATTCCTGTACCTGCCCCCCAGGCTTCTATGGTAAAAACTGTGAGCTGAGCGCAATGACTTGTGCTGACGGACCATGCTTCAATGGTGGGCGATGCACTGACAACCCTGATGGGGGATACAGCTGCCGTTGCCCACTGGGTTATTCTGGGTTCAACTGTGAAAAGAAAATCGATTACTGCAGTTCCAGCCCTTGTGCTAATGGTAAGGCCAAACATGCTACAGGGACCTTCTAAAAGGAGACCATCCAGTTACTTTGGCTTCTGGTCTGGAGTTCATAACAAGGTCCACTGATCAATCATGGTCCATGTCATGTCAATAGTTGACTTGGTGGAGGAACTGTACTTAAAATGTAATGGTGTGGTTTGGGCCACTGCTGCAGATCGCATTTTCTCAAGGGGTGACTGTGGCCAGGTAACTTGGACTGAAGCTTCATGCATAAAAATGTGGAGGATTATACTTGCAAATGTTTTGCAAAGACTCTTTGAGGTCTATGGATGCAAAATGCCATACAAGTGCTAAAAATCATTACTTGTAATCTGGTAAGAGTAATCTTCCTGTTTTGATTAAACTAGTGAAGACTTTCTTTACTGCAGTCCTCCTCAGTCATTGCTACTCAAACTCTGTAACGTGAGATTGTGGTGTTAACCTGATCTGGACTAGCTTTGTTGTCCAAGCCGAGTGAAATGTTAAAAAGGGAATAGGATGGAGAATGAAAAACAGATCTGATTAACAAATATCTTCCTTAAAAAAATCCCGTACTTTTTATGGTGGATCAGACTTGGCAAAGGTTGAGCTAACCTCTCAAAAAGAAAGCTTTTCTCAGCTGCTGGTTGTGACGGTCACTCCAAGAGCAGCAGGTGGGAGGCTGTCGGGTCTGGCTGCCCACCACTCAGCGCTCGTCTCCCTTGATGTCTTGCAGGAGCCCAGTGCGTCGATCTGGGGAACTCCTACATATGCCAGTGCCAGGCTGGCTTCACTGGGAGACACTGTGATGATAACGTGGACGACTGCGCCTCCTTTCCCTGCGTCAATGGAGGGACCTGTCAGGATGGCATCAATGACTATTCCTGCACCTGCCCCCCGGGATACAACGGGAAGAACTGCAGCACCCCGGTGAGCAGATGCGAACACAACCCCTGCCACAACGGGGCCACCTGCCACGAAAGAAACAACCGCTACGTCTGTGAGTGCGCCCGGGGGTACGGCGGGCTCAACTGCCAATTTTTGCTCCCTGAGCCACCTCAGGGACCAGTCATCGTCGACTTCACCGAGAAGTACACGGAAGGCCAGAACGCCCAGTTCCCCTGGATCGCCGTCTGCGCCGGGATTATTCTGGTCCTCATGCTGCTGCTGGGGTGCGCTGCTGTGGTCGTCTGCGTCAGGCTCAGAGTGCAGAAGAGGCACCACCAGCCTGATGCCTGCAGGAGCGAGACTGAGACCATGAACAACCTGGCGAACTGCCAGCGCGAGAAGGACATTTCCATAAGTGTCATTGGTGCCACTCAGATTAAAAACACGAATAAGAAAGTAGACTTTCACAGCGATAACTCCGATAAAAATGGCTACAAAGTCAGATACCCGTCAGTGGATTACAATTTGGTGCATGAACTCAAGAACGAGGACTCTGTTAAAGAGGAGCACAGCAAATGTGAAGCCAAGTGTGAAACATATGATTCAGAGGCAGAGGAGAAAAGTGCAGTACAACTAAAGAGGTATCTCTCACATCTGAGCGCGGGGGGCAGCTTGACTCTGAAGGGGGTGTGTGTGTCTCATAGGTAGCATTAAGCAACAGCCATCTGACCTGTGTTGTCTCTTTTTGTTTTCAATAGTGATACTTCTGAAAGAAAACGACCAGATTCAGTATATTCCACTTCAAAGGACACAAAGTACCAGTCGGTGTATGTCATATCAGAAGAGAAAGACGAGTGCATCATAGCAACTGAGGTTAGTATACTGCCTGGCAGTTGGAACAGCAGAGAAAAGTCTTGGTGCACAACCCTTATCTAACACACGTCAGGGCAACTAAACTCTTTTCCATGGTGCCACAGCGATTTGTACCTGTTGAAATCCAGTCAGCTGGAGTTTGTCGTACTGTGGACGTTGTAAAGACAAGCTCAGTGACTTGCTGCTGTGGATATTACGGGTACAATGACTTTTGCAGAAAGGGTACAATAATAGTGTGGTTGTGGTCTGCTGACCTACCCCTTAGCGTGCTTCATGCAGAGTCCATTCTTGCCCGGCGTAAAGACAGAGTCCCGACCCTCTGCAGCCTTACAGCCCTCTTCTTACTTTCCATTAACCTCTTCTGATCTCTGCTCGTGTTTTCTCTCACCAGGTGTAAACCAGAGGCGATATGGCAAGGTGGTTGTTCAGAACAATTTCAGAGGAGACGTGCCCCAATGAATGCTGCTGAAAGAGGAATGGGAGATAGATTCCTTCACTGACTGCTGCTGAGAAACTAAATTCAGGCTTGAGCTGGTTCTCTACTGAAGTTAGCAAAGTGACTGCAAAATAAAGAAACAAGATGAGCACCAGGCAAGGGTCTGTGTTCAAGGATTACTGTTGCACTGCCTTTTATGAATTTTATCATTGCACTATGGTCAGTTGCTTTTCTATATATATTTAAATGAATGGACTTAATTACTACATAAGAAGCATGCACTGCCTGAAGTGTATATTTTGGATTCTTATGAGCCAGTCTTTTCTTGAATTAGAGACACAAACACTGCCTTTATTGTCTTTTTTGATACTAAAATGTGTTTTTACTAGGTGAGAAAAAGTGTGTTATTTTTTTGAATCTGTAAAAATATTTTCATGATAATTGTAAAGCTTGAGTATTTTGTGATGTTCATTTTTTATAATTTAAATTTTTTGGTAAATATGTACAAAGGCACTTCGGGTCTATGTGACTATATTTTTTTGTATATAAATGTATTTATGGAATATTGTGCAAATGTTATTTGAGTTTTTTTTTACTGTTTTGTTAATGAAGAAATTCATTTTTAAAATATTTTTCCAAAATAAATATTATTAATGATAACCAGAGTGCTACATTTATTCCATAACCAATGATGAACTGACTGAACCTTGCAACCAGGCATCTGACAGGCTTCTGTGGACTTGTGGGTGGATAGCGTAGGACTGAGACCTATCAAAAAGACTGGGGAACAACTTGTTCTGTGTAGACCCCTGTCTTTCCCCTCCTAACCTTCTGAACTGTTGACCCCATGGTTGTGCTCTCTCTTACCCCAAAGGCAAATGTCTGTTAAAACCTTGAGTAATGTTTGCTCAGTCGTGTTGGGCTGTGTATATGTAAACACATATGGCATCACTTCCTAAGGAAGAGCAACGCGAGTGCACTGCGTCACAATCCAGATGTGGGGCTCGTCATGACTCAGCTCTTCATTTCTTGCAACCTTAAACACTTGCCTGGAGTCCAGGGGAGTTTGGGACACCCAGGGCACGCCGGCGAGGGCCCTCACCTCAGGTTCTTGATGCACACCCATGGGATGTAAGCTCCCCCAGTCACACCTACCGAAGGGTGAAACCTCCCTCTCCAGGAAAGGGTGACACTGAGTTGACTGGTGGCCACAACTCTCCTGGCTATGATACCTGTCTGAAGTATTAGTTGCATCTTTGGTTTCCCCTCTGCCCCTGGTGCCTGCTGCCTTCATATTGGGGCAGGGTGTGATCCCGTCCCCTGGCTTGGCCCCAAACGCTCAGGAAATTTCCCCAATTTATTTTGCCCTAACTAGCTCTCCTTCAGGTATGTTAGCTGGCAGAGGCCCTTCAGAAACAGGCAAAGTGTTATTCCACTTCAGGAAAAAGAGGAAAATCTAGGAAATAATTTCCTTTTTGCTCCATTAAAACTGAACCCCAATCATTGTGGGCCACCTCCTGCAGCTTCAGGGAGTCGATGAAAATCCTTTGTTCCCATTCACTTCAGGGGAGGGGGATGCTATCCTAAACACAAAGAGTGGGATAGCAGATATGATCAAGCAATTACCGCAGCTGGTGATCTGTAACTGTAACGTATGTGTGTGCTCCCCTTGTTTTAGTGTACATGAGTACATGAACCACTGGAAACTGTACTTTGGTGTGAGGTCAATGGAAAACTCACACTGATTGCAGGGGCTTGTCCGTCTATAAGGCCTTCTCGCTAAGCCAAACCTTAGACAAGATCTACTGACTTCTCATGGAGTGACCCAACAGGGTCATCCTCTTAATTTGTCCCAAAGTGTCTTTTTAGGGAAAGTTTTCATGAGGAGAGTGATGTGAGGTATTAAAAACCAGCCTGTCAGTGATGGTCTGAACAACGTTTTCAATCTGAGCAGTAACACAACAACCTGCCAATAACCAGTCAATGTATCATGTATTAAATGAGGCACGACAGTGTGTATGGCAGCAGGTGTTCAGAGCAACATAATCTCACAGACAGGACAACAAGTGAACCTTGGTAGGTTTTATTGCCATCTCTGTTGCTGATTTGCTCTTCAACCTTGGGCAAATCACTTTATTTCTCTCTGTTTCCTCTTCTTCCCAAGCTTTTTGGAGCAGGCTTGTCTGTTATGATGTACTGCACTTTGCACAGTCAGTGCCATGGTCTCAGCTGGGCCCGCTTAATGCCGCTTCTGTAGAAATAGAAGTAATGAACGTAAGGTCATTGATGGCTGAGTGCCCCTATAACATCAGGTCTGTAGCGCTACAGCAAGTACTACTTTAATATGGTGCCAGGTAAAGGTCTGGAAAGGCACACAGCTCCTTGTTCTTGTAAAGAGGCACAGCATCGGCATCTATGTAAATTTACTTAAAAACAAAACAGCTTTGGAAAGCTCAGTTTGTTCAAGTGTGCTAATTACCAGAAGTGCTGAGCTTGGTAAGCAAAGAAAAACGTACTGTGGGCAAAGAGAAGGGCACGGTCTTGCTCTTCTGAAGCACCTTCTGAAATGATGGCTAAGCAGATGAGCCCAACGGCTTCTTCTGTTTCTGTCTTGAGCAGGGTTGGGGCTACTGCCACATGCAGGATTTATTTCTTGTATAGGACTACTAAGGCCCCCAAACCTGAGTGTGTGTGTATACAGAGGCTCTCGGTGACCAGAGCAGGTTGAGGCGTGCAGCGTGGAGCACTGGATCCATGCTCCTCATCTTTAGTACCTGGGCCTTTCTGGGGAAAAAAATGGATGATCTGGGCAGGGGGTGGAAGTCGTGTGTGTGTTTGCTTGAGAGAGGGGGCGGTACATGCAGGTGCCGAGCCGCGCATGCCGGTGGTGCGCACCGCGGGCAGCGGGCAGCGAAGGCGCTGG